ATACGAGTTCAAAAACCCACTACAGGATCCAAGAGAAGCGCTAAAACAAGAGTACATCAAACTCAAAGGCGAGATAATGCTAGGCAATGACAATCCTGAGATCGTCAAAGAGCTAAAGACGGTACTTGTAGATATGTATTCAGCTAAACTAATTTCTCATGATGAATTTAAAGAAGTTCTAGTACAACTTATCTAATAAACTATAGAGTAGAGCTTAGACAATGACATTAATTATTGCTAATACCAGACTTGTTGACATCAAGAATGCGTATAAACGTGAGGCTAATAATAACTTGAAAGAGTTGAAGAATATAATGGAAAAGCTCACTGTACGAGATACCTCAAAATCAGTTAATAGAGTTATAACAGAAACCAGTGGGGGATCTACTACCGTATGGGCGCCTCCGCGAAAAAACAAAAAAATTAAAACCTTCAAGCTTTAAGATGTTTTTTTTTAGTTAAAGGGCAGGCATCAGCTTAGTTTTTCTTTCGAGAATTTCGATTCGCGCGCGTAGGTCTGTAATCAATTGATTTTGCTCTTGGATAGCCTTGCATAACACAGCAGTGAGTGATGCCAAATCAATTCCCATCGGATCAGGCGGGAGTCCAGTCTCAGGATGAAGCGGTGAGTTTGGATCACCAGAGACAGGGATAGCGCATACCTGCTTAAGCTCCTGAGCAACGAAACCTATATGAATGGTATCATCTTGTAGTAATGTGTATTTACGAGGCTTCATTCCGAGAACAGTAGATAGTCCGTAAGGGCAATCTGTGATATCCTTCTTAATACGTCTATCGGAGCCATTGGTGTATGCGCCTCCATATACCGGTGCGTAGCCTGTCCAGCTATAAGATGCGTCGCAAATACCAATTCTGATCGTTGATGAATTTACGTGGTTGCCTATCGCCGGATACCCTGATTGAAGCCAATTCCAACGGTAGTATGCCATGTTAGCTGCGTTGGCCTTGCAATGAAACGCATCGTCAGCCCATACGGCTCCTCCTGAGTGTATAGTTGCCTCTGGTGACACACGATTAACGGCAAGTCGCTTAGATGTGTTAAATAGCATACCAGTGCTTCCTCCAACCATGAAATTGATCGGATCGTTAGTATACGTTCCTATACACATACCATTGTTAGAACTACCTCCAGCTTCATTGTACATGATCACTCCCGCTTTCATCGGAGTCGCATTATCGTTCCAAAACTCAAGTGTGCGAATCCAGCTACCATACAGGTTGTCTGAGGTTCCGGTTACGTGAAATTTACTAGCAGGATCAGTTAA